TTGGTGTTAAAAGAGCAAGAAAGGATTAGAGAAAAATAAGGTACAATAAATTGGTGCAAGTTACAGATTTTTTTTTCACAATGAGGTACTGAGTTTGAAACACATTCTTACATATGCAATTAAAAAATGGCAAATTCCCAAACTTTTATAGTGATTAATAACAAGACTAATAACATAAATAACTTTTAATGAAGGGGACTATCTTATACCACCAGCTACCTTTTGTCCTTTTTGCTCCAAATTGCACAAGATTAAGGCAAGGCATAATACTCACTGGGTTCTCTAGTCACCACAGTGGCAGAGGAAAACCTGAGTTTGGAGCTAGGAAAATAAAACTTTGGGCTGTAAATCTGAAAAGAAAGAATATGTATTTCCTTCCCAATCCAGGTATGGTTTCATGTTTATAGGCCACACATACAGCTCCTTACAACATCCCAAGCCAGATGACTGTGCTTGAAAATTGGTAGCAAAAGCATTACTTGCACCCTCTGCAAATCAAGAGATACTCTGTTTGCTGAAGGCACTAGACTTTACACCAACTGATTTGCAACATGGATCAAAACACACCTGAAAAAGCTATTATTTCACTGCTTTTTTGTTCTTCTTTTTTTTTTTTTTTTAATCACTCTAATACCAGCACCATACCTACCACATTCATATGACCATATATATAAATCATACATGGTGGTATGAAAGTCATTGACAGTGATACCCCAACTACACCAAAACCTGTATATCCCTAAGCATTTTTGATCATGTTCTTACTTCATTGCTAATAACCATTCTGCAAAAACAGATACTAGAAGAAATTAAATTTATTGCATCTTCTGAATGCAGCAAATATATGATGAGTTTTCTATTTTGCTAGTCAATCCAAGAAAGCAAAACTGCAATGCTAATACTGTGTCATGCTAACTTAATAAATTCTGAGATTCCCCTGACTTGTCTAAGAAAATACTGCTGGCACATGCCAATATCAGTGTGGGTGTCCAAAATAAAAAGACCGGCCTTACACATTTTCTGTCAAACCTTTCCCCCTCATGTCATGCAAGTCAAGGGACTATTCCCCCACAAAGGAATCTAGAACTGATGGCTTTTCAACAGCCCTAGATTCCTCTCCCTCACTAACAATTCTGTTTTCGAATTCTGACCACATGAACTTCCTTTGTAATGCAATCAGATGGGATCTTTTCCCCCCCCAAGATGAACAGCCCCAGCTCCCACTCACATAATGACCATTACTATTTTGTCTTTTTGCAGTTCCATTATCAAATAAGTATATGAGATGTTCTAAATAGCTCTAATAAAAGTAACAGAATATGATTTTGAGTCAAGATGAATCCATGACACAAATAAAAGGACATGAAATAATAATTGAGGTAAATCATTGTTCAAATGTATTTCTGAAAATAAAATACCTTATATTTCCCATCCAATTATGTAATAGTAAGTCCTTTAAAATGAAGAGACAAAGATCATCAACCTAACAACTGACAGGAATCAAAACAAAAGTTATTTTACAACAAATTTCTAAAAAGCTTTTATTTTATTAACTGTTACTCCTGAGAGCTAGTCTCAACTGTTTAAAATTAGTCCAATTTCATGTAGCAACTAGAAAAATATAGATGTACCCATGTACACCAGTAAAATGATAATATACAGTTTGTATAACATACAGCTTGCTATTTGTAAGCACAGACTTGATAACCTAAATAATGGCAAATTCAAAGTGTTAAATGACCATTTAATAAACAGTGTTCTAAATCTGGACTTTCAATGTTAACATTGGTAATTTAAAGATTAAGTTTCAGACTATGTTTTTATGTATGCTGCAATTAACAATGGAACTTTGGAAGCATTGGCTCTTTGGTATAAATTCATTTGAATCTGCTTTCAGACCATGAGCATAGTTCATCATTTTTGCACAGCACTGGGCATTGTGTTTGTGGTTAGAAAAAATTTTTAGGATAGAAACACTAATTAAGAGAAGATCAAGTTAAATCAAATAACTATGCAGCCCAGCATCCCAGATAGGGTCACAGATACTTTATCTATTTCAGGAAAGCACTACTAGAATGTTTAAGTGCCATTACAGTCAGTGACATAAGCCCATCATCAACCTGACCCTAGCCTAAATTGTAGCTGTTGATGGATGCTGATGTAACAACTCGCCAATATGAAGAGAAAGAAGTCTTATGACTATCCAGGTTTTTTTCTAGAACAGTTTTTCACCATCCTATTAAATTTATCAGCTTATCACAGGGTCAGATGATCACTGGAGCCAATGAAAGGCAACATAGCTGGATGTAAAAGAGGTTGTGGCTTCACAAAGTTAAGTCAGAATAGGAACCAAGAAGATTGAGACTTTTCTGTTCACAGTTCTGAAGGGTAGGCAAACAGAAACACTACAAGGCAATGTAAGGAGAACTGGAGTGGGACCAGATTTCAGCAGGCATAGTGGCCTCTTCTGACAGTCTCATCCACAATCATTATTTGTATTGGCTGTGCCTAGACAGATAACATAGTGTATTACATGTATTACCAAGGTAGCCCAGAAAGCTGCATATTATCAGGAAGTACAAGATTACAAAATCCTGGAGTCTAGACTACTATTTTTTAAGTTGGAAAAAAATTCAGCTGTATTTGAGAAAATGATGGCCACAATTTAAACCCATGCTGGTCAAAGTAGGTATAAAACTAAAGTTAGAGGCTCTCCTTTAACTTGCTGATGTATTTACTTTAGGAAGAACAAGCTAAACCAAGACTAACCAAATAATGCAATTACGCCATTAAACTTTTTGCCCCTCAGCAATATGTGTGACAATCTTAGTACCTTACATCCTTCTGGTAACATTTGCTAATTGAGAGCTGGATACCAGGACCAGTGCTATTATTATTCTGCTACTATTCTACTCCTTTTCTTAAATTGCTTTGTCAGACTTCCGTCACTTGAGACAAGTTCCATTATAAGAGACATTAGGTGTATTTAGGTATTTGCCAGATAATAGACTAAGGTTCTTAGGCATCAATCTGTACAGATTAGTCTAATCTGTTGCTGCTGGAAACCTTGTTTCCAGCAGTAAAGTAGACAATAGTTTCAAATTACCAGCAATAAGGTTAAGCTATGGGCAATATATGTTTTGAGGTGAGAAGAAAAACAAAATAGAACTCATGCATTCCCAATATTGTCTTTACCTTTACCAGATCAGGTAGGTATCTGAATTGAGATTCCAATTTCTCTAAAAAACTATTCCTAATGGATTTGGCTCCATTTAAACTGCTTTATTTGTGAATGTTCTCTTAATTATTTTTGAGTGGAGGATACAACAGAAGCTCAGTAATGTTATTTCCTGAATCCAACAAAGCATGAATAATTAACATTTCAATATTGGATAAAAGTTTGTCATTTTCACACTAATAGGTTTTCCTATTAGTTTAGGAGAAAAGTCAAACAATTCAAGATTTAGGGATTCTATAAAAATGAAGGCAATGAGCCCAGGATGTTAAAGACAAAAAACTGCAAATACCTGTAATCTGGTTCTAAAGTAATGCAGCTTTTCAGTAATACTTTTCAGAAAACATAGAATTGGTTTTTTTTATTTAAACTCTTATATCTCAACCTATCATTCAAACTATCAACTAAGGATTGAAGTCAGATCCTCCTTCCTTTTAGCTTTACCTAGTATGAAACTACATAAAAAAATTAAGTTTTTTCTATGACCCTTTTTCTCAAACTTACCTTTCATTCTATAGGACAGCAGATACCATGGATACAAGCATCAAGAAATGAAGAGCAATACTTGGTTTGTTCATGATATATCAAGTACAATGTTATGTCGTAAAATCCTAAACTAACTGCATATCGCAATGCCTTGAAAACTTTCAGCAAAGCTACATCAAATCCTCCATTATAACAACTGAAATGTAGAGAGCTGTCCTAAGAAAGAACACAAACAAAAGGAAAAGCAGAACATGTTACAAGAGATGCGGGAATCAAAAATGCCTGGAGGCAGTAGAGACAGGTCTTTAAAATTTTAAACACTTACCTCTTCTAGAGACTATACTACATGAAAAGTAACATGCCAGAAAAAAAAATAAATCCGTTGTCATTTTATTATTATTAAACAAGAAAGTGCAAGTGAAGAACAATCTAACTGTATTTGCACTACTAAAACACTGGAAGAATATGGATTTAGTTTTTCCCCTTTTTCCCTATTTACATTTAGCCTGTATTAACAGTGAGTTGCTGACTTCTATGTCCTCTGTCCTAACTGACTTCATAGAAGCTGAGTGTCAGACTGAATGAGCCTGGTGGCTAAGGTAGGTAAGGAGGAAGACTTTGGCTCAAATTCTTCCTCCAGAGAATATCAGAGTACTTTGTATACTGTTTTCACAAGAATTGTGGAATGTGGAATTATTTTCCACAAGAACTGTGGAAACATAGCTCAGTGGCTAGGCATTCTCCAATGTGGGATAGTTAGTCTGAGATCTATACCCTGAATTAGATATAACAATCTGAATATCATAAACACTCACATAGTTTCTTCTCCCTGGTTTTCAGAATTTCTCCCTATGTTGTTCTTTTAAAAAAAAAAACAAAACCAAAACAGATTAAATGATTCATTTCAGGTTTTTGACTATTGTAAATATAGTTTTGGTTCAAAATAAAACTTATTTTTCACATTAGCCAGTGGGAAAATCCAATTAATAAAGGTTTATGTCTAAATTCATTGGGATTTACTGGTTCTTTCAGGTTTACAGGTTGAAATGCTGCAATCCATCATTAAATGATAATAGGGCAACTTCCAGAACTGGAACACGTATACTGACAAAAGAGGAGATATCCAAGCTGAAGTACTGAATAGGCAAATATCCTAAATTAATTAAAATATGATATTAAAAAAAAAAAGAAGAAATTTCAGCTTCTTTTAACCAGTTGTTCAAACTGAATACTGGCCCTTCCATTTGAGTTACATTTTTCTGAAAAATATGCTCTTTATGAAAACTATCATACTCTTTATAAATAAACTAAACTCCAATGTAACGTGCAATCTGTTTCAGGTAGCAAGATCTATTTTGCATATTGTGTATTTCAGACTTTAAACAGATTTTTTTTTTTAAACCATGAAATTTTGTTACGTCATCTTCAGTTAAGCTGCAGTAATTCACATTTGCGAAAATCTCATGCAACCTAGAGATTAGATTTTTTTTAAACTGCAAAAATATCTCAACTTTTCTGGAAATACTTATTAAAATATATAGGAAAAGTTCACTTTTCCCACGAAAAGTAAATTTTAATAATACTTCAAGTATTTACAGTTTATTCGAATGAAAATTATGATAAGCTATAAAATCGGGATAAAATCATAATTAATATATCATTATTACTTAATACAAGTTATGAAAATTCCAGTAATTTTTCGCGTTCTACTGTAGTACCATAACAGCAAACCATCCTTCCTTCTACTCTAGCAGGCTGGAGGTGAAAGTATTTTTCACCATTAGAAACTGAGATTCTCGGTGTGATCTTTTCAGCTTTGCGCGACGGTTCTGGAACCAGATCTAAAATTGAAAGAAAAGGCATGCTTTTCAGAAATACATACCTGTGAGCAGAATGAGCATTGAAACTTAAAAATATGTATACAACTTTACAGTATTTTGTCTAATGACAGTAGTTTGAAAGTTCAATACTAAATTTAAAACCTGCAGATGATGGCATGTAACTACCTGCAATAATTTTAACACCACAGATGAAGAAAATAATACCCCAACTTGAAAGTGAACCTGAAACTTGGACCTCAACCAAAAAGTCAGGCCCAGCTTCACTTTAATTAATATAAAAATTAATATTTACTTTGGTGACACTGAATCAGACCCTGGAAGATCCTGAACATCTGGAATTCACAAACAAGTCTTTAAGTCTTATTTCTTCAGCTGCTTGCTTAATCACAGTATCAAACTTCCCATTAACCTTAATATAATATTTGCATTAAAAGCTTAATGAACATCAAGGTCAGGCCCAAATTCTAATGTTTATGGTATGCTTCATATCACATTGGACTACCTGGAAATTAATAATTAAAGTCTCTGAGTAGATTTTGCTTTTGGCCAGATGAAGACAGGCTCAAACATTGGTTTAACACATTTATGCTCTACTGACAGTCTCACAAAATAATTAGACATTCATACAAATCGTTTCAATATTTGTTTCAAATTTGTTTTTCAGATACTGTGACAAGCATAATATAAGCATGATTTTAAAACATGGAAGCAAATATCAAGTTCTGCACATGATAACTAGAGATTAACAGAGTAGATATCATGGAAATCTTATAGTGATGAATACCTCATCAATGCTATGGAAGAAGGTCTAAGATTTCAGAAGGAATTCAATGGCTTCCATTCCACAAATCATTGAATGTATACCACATGTATAGATGTACATTGTTTTAAATTGAGACTATTAAAATTATTGCTACTGCTGTCAAACTACTTGTTCATATAATGAGAGAATACGTATAGATGTAATTACAGAAAACTTCAAATAATTTTTTTATTACCTGGATCCTGTCTTCATCTAAATCTAATTTGCGAGCTAGCTCTTCTCTAATATCAATGCCAGGGTAGGAGTTCATTTTAAAAACATTTTCCAAGACTTCAATCTGAGGAGATTAAAACAAAGTTTTTGAATAATTATTACTACCTTCATAGCAGTAACAAAGAAAATAAATACAAAAAACAGTTAACTTTGTTCAGCAGGAAACTTTCAAGCAGTGTTTGCACAATTCTGATTCCATGCATAAACACAAATCTGCTGAAATTAATAAAATTACTATTAATTTACACTAGTTCCTGGTTACTTTTCTCTCTACAGAGGTACAACATACTGAATTAGTCAGCTGTTACAGGCTTCTACCAACATTTTCTAAACTATGTCATTTTTCATTTATTAAATACTGAGAAAATCCCTACCTGGTTTCTAGTGAATGCAGTTCTTGGTCTTCTACCCCTGTACCAGCTCAATTCTCGTTTGAAAGACAGCCTTTCAGTGACTGAAAAATATTTTTCACATTTCAAAACTTTTTCCTCTTGCACTGGATTACTGTTAGCATGAAATAATGGATTTTCATAGCAAACAACAGGAATTTGCAGACGGGGATTACTGTCATCACCTAAAACTAGGAAAAGCAAGGAAAGGAGAGCTTCAGTTTATTGGTTTTCAGTGGAAACATGAACATACATCTTTAAAGGAGCAAAATCTGGAGAGGTTACAAAGCAGACTGCTCACTTACCCAAGTTGCTGCATGCTTCCATCCATGGTCTGTGAGGTTTCACAGCTGGAATGCCATCTTTTTTCTGCTCCAGTCCCAAAATACTTTCAATGGAAAATGAGCACTGTGTGGTTTTATTTTCTACAAAACCAGACACTGTGTGAAGGTTCTGAGACGCTGATGTATTAGCAGCACATAGCGATGTACTTGCCATTCTTTCACCTTCAGCCAGCATAGCACATATACTGTACTTGCATTTCTCCACAAGTCCTCCTTATAGCTATGTTGACAAGGGGGTTGGATTTGCAACGTCATTAATTAAAATCTTTTATTAGAAAGTTTTAGCATGTCAATGAAAACTCTCCCACCAAGAGGCACGAGGAGTTAATTGTTTATTTGTTTGCAAGTAATTAGCAACTAATGGTGACACTAGGGGGGCCACCAAGAGGGACAAAAAGTGTTATCTCTCCTAACCAGAACATCGACTTAACTTTCTCAAAAGAAGCTGTGCACAAATATAGTACTTCTCTTTTATTTGAAATCATTAATGTATAAAATCAGTTTTTTAAAAAACTTTATACTCTAATGGACTCCACTTACCTAAACATAGCAGCACGATAGGAAACCAGTCAAGTAATAAGTAATCTCATTTAAGTGAATTTCCTTCCAAGGAAATTTAAAAAATAATCTCTTAATGCTATTAGGGTAATCCCGATGAAAATGCCTCTGTTTTTTCATATGCATATGTAATGGTGAACGTGGTCAATAAAACAACAATGGTTTTTGGCATAAGGCACTGTGCAGTGGGTTGGCAATGTTGTCAAAGCTCAGTGTAATTGCCTTCCAAGTGCCTGGATTAGTTAACAGGAACAGTTGCACCAACTATTTTAAATAATTCATGCATTAATTTTTCTTATTAAAATAACTTTGTTGTGACTTTTTTTAAACATTCCATATGCGAAACTTCCCGATCATTCTTTACAGCATAAAAATAAAACTTAAATTAATAGCAGCATTACACTCTTCCTTTTACTGCTAGATATTCCTCCCTTCTGGTAGGTTTACAAACTACAGGAGTTTATTAAATCCTACAGAGCAAACACTCAAAATCTTTGAGAACTCAAACTCAAAAAACCATGAGTAATGGGGAGAAAAGGGGTAAAGATTTTGTAATGAAGTTCAAAATTTGAAAACAGAATTCTGATTTAATTCATTATAAAGAAAGTGCCGACTATAACATTTTTACATTCAAACTCAACCTGTCAGCCACACATCAGTTTACATGTCACATGATCCTGAATCAAAAGCTGGTTTTGATAACCTCTCTACAGAGATTCCTCCTTTTCTTATTTTGGACAAAGCTTTATTTGATAACATGCAAATATGGAAACAATAATTTAATTTTAGGATGCCAAAGTTACCCCTCTTAAATAAAACTTTTAATTTGGAGCACACAATGTAGGAGCACATAGGACTGTATGCTTTTAGAGGAAAAATCTGGCCCTCTATTTTTTCTTGTTTTACCAGAGTAGTTTATTCTGTGTAATCAATCACATTCACATGGCAAACAACTAATATTAAGGAAATAAATAGTAACTCCACTTTGATTTTCTGTACATTTGTAAACAACCCAAGACTAATCTTTAGGGACAGAAACAAGAAAATTGTTAAGGAAATGGCATAACCTAGAACTGACAATACTGTGCTGAGGAGATTCTATAGAGAAAAATGCAATCCAGATGTGACTTTTTATCAGAAAGATGTTCAGCTGAAGAATATTGACTTACTGAACTGACTTTGTGTTGTGTGATGACATTGCTGTCAAACCAAACTATCAAAAAGAGTGACAATTCCAGAAGTGATCTTACCAAGGACACCTTATCAGCGTGGATCAGTGAATCTTGGAAGTCTCAATGTAACTGCAATGACCACCTGCAAGCTAAGGTCCAACCATCATTTAACAGCATCTGCAACCACAAAGTGCAGATATAAAAAAAGGCATAAGGAGCTATGTATCAAGCCACTGCTTGCTGGAATATCTGGTGAAGCAGAGGTGAATGGGAAGCAGTGTTAAGCAAGGGCCTTACAGTCCTTTATGTTTCAGTAGAGCTGTTCCAAACAAGGCATCCTATGAGATTAACAAAGCAACAGGACTCCTTTTCTTGACTGTAGGCAGTTATTTTGAGTATTCAGACTGCACACCAGCTCCAGTAGTTAATAAAAGATAATGCAAAGCCTCTCATACAGCAGTGATTGGTAGATCACCTTTCTGCCTCTACAGTCTCTACATGGAACACTAGGGTTTTTTTAAAAATTACTTAAAAAAATTCCCACAAAACACGTTAATTCAAAAAGAAAAAAATGCATCTTCTTCTGTGTGAACTTGGAGCTGCTTACCAATTTCTGTATCCCAAAGAGGTCAAAAGCATGATCACTGATAGAGACACAGCCTCCTGAATCCAGAAACTAATGTGGACTTTAGTAATACAAAAAACCTCTTCACATTTATTAATATACAGCTAGTTTCCAAATGCAGCCATGAAGCTGGGCCACAAAGTTCAGACTCAGATTACCATGTACTTCAAGTCCCAAACCTTCCTAGGTGTTCTTGTCAGGAAGCTATCAAGAACTATCAATAAAGACAGGCATATGTGGTGGCAAGACATTTATGAGATGCACATATCTTCCCAAAGTTAACCATTAAGCTTACCAAGTAATTATAACTTATTGTTGATCTCTCAGATTGCAGAAGATGGAAAATAACTTCAGGGTAGTCTGCTTTTAACTCCCAGTTGGAAGCACTCATTCTTTCAGAGTTTTTTAATGACTTTTCAGGGAAAAGAGTTCTTGATAGCTCTCAAAAAGAATTCTCATAAAACAGGCCAAAACCAGCTAATGCGTTCGCTAGGTGAAGGTCAGACGCTCACCACATACTGCCATCTGGTGTTTAGGCTTACCCAGCTGGTAAATTCATTCAGCAATGGTATCTGAGTGAGAAGCTGTGTTATTATTAAAATTTTCATATTACTCTCATTTGCTCAATGTTGAATTGAACCAGACCTGGAGACCGCAATGCAGTCACCAAAATATATCCGAATTCTTCTTTTTAAAGAGTTCAGCACATACAGGAACAGGGAGCACCAATTCAGAAGGTCACAATGTAGATGCTCACATTATGCTCTCTAATTTCTGAGAACTTCAGTGAAATTGAAACACCATATATATATGGTGACCTTCATAATGTTAATGCACGTCCACATAACTATTTATAAAAATTATAAGAGAAATTATTCTAAAGATAAGAAGTCTGCATTATGCCAAAATTCCATTATATCCCTGGAAGTGTTCAAGGTCAGGTTGGATGGGGCTTTGGGCAATCTCATACAGTGAAAAATGTCCCAAAGGCGTTTGGAACCAGATGATCTTTAAAGGGCCCTCCCAATCCAAACCCTTCTGTGATTCTAAAACAATGTATACTTAGAAATAAATCTAACTGGAAAGTTGGGTTGAGGGTCTAGCATTTAAATGTTGCTAGATTTGTTTGAAGAGAAGCTTGCTTAGCTGTAAAAGAAAGCTATTATTTATCAAGATAAACAGTGAACTAACCTTTCTGTAAGAAACGAGGATTTAAATATGTTTTCCACAGGGAAGAAAACTTAAAAGTTTTAGATCCAAGAATACCTGGTAGTAACAAACCAGATTAAATTTCTACGATTTCCCATTGAAAGTGTAATGAGACCTTGAGCCTTCACTCAAAAACTGCACTTCAGTATTTTGGTCCATTAGAAATTATCAATACTTTCCTTGCAATCATTATGAAATTACTTATATAAAGTTTTAGCTAAACACCATTATAGGGGCAATTAGAGCAACACAACAAAAAATGGAGTCAAAAATCCTAAGTAATCAATAACAGGAGAAATCACTGCTCCTTGGATATGCAAATCCAATCCCCTTACAGCATCACATACTCGATGAGGCAGCAAACTAATCTCCCTTTTAGATTTTGCACCACTGTTTTTTGCCCAGGAACAGTAGAGTTCATCTGTTTAGAGATGAAGCTCTTGTTCTTTAGAGATGGGAAGCCTCTAAGGACTCTCTTTACACCAGCTGAAGAGACCACACCAAGAGCTCTTGGTGGCTTTGGTCTGAAACACCCAATGCCTGCTGTTACCTTTTGCTGGTCTCACCCATTGCCACTCCACTGCCAGGTCACCTTTCACAATAGCCTGTGCAGTATTTTCAGCTTTTTAGAAAGGTAAAAATGGTATACATAATCTTTCCTGATTAGTTATCACACAAAAAAAATTGCCTTTCATCTCACCTTTCCTACAGCTTCTTTATACCACTGCATCTGTATTTCATCACCTCAGATATTCTGCTGCATATAGCTCCCTTTTAAATGTTTTGAACATGAATAGTAAAGATTATATTCAAAGCCAACTTCAAAACTCAAAAGGATTTTTTTTAGGCAAGAATACCTTAAAACTGCAAAAAACAATTTTCACAAAACATGACTAAAGGCAGTTAGCTATTTCTTGGCTGAGGGAAAAGCTGTTTTGACCCAGGGAGATTAAGTGAACACAGATAAATTCAAGGTAAATCCAAGGGTGGAACTAGCAAAAGTCTGAGAAACAGTGTGTTAAACAGTGGGTAACATGCAAATAAAGCCTACCTTACCCAGACAGCTACCTTCACCCTCCTGCAGAGGCAAAATGTTCTCTCCATTAGGGAACACATCCGGAATCCCCTAAAGAGCCGTTGGCTGCTCTTCTCCCTGTTTACATAGTGCCAAGTGTTAGTTCCCCACATTTTTAAGGCCTCTTAGTAAGTATTTTGCAGAAAGAACCACCCCCCCCCCCCCCACCCCCGAAACAGAAAAAAAAAAAAAAAAAAAAAAAAAAAAAAAAAAAAAAAAAAAAAAAAAAA